TTGCTTAATAAATGTTTATTGACTAATTAACTGAAAGTGCTGTTGATCTCCCATGCACATTTAGTGATATCCTGAATGACATTTTCATGTGTACCCAATTGATAAATAAATGAATGAAATCAAATGACATCACTTCTTCCTCCAAGAATGATGATGATGATGATGATGATGATGATAATGGTTAGCATTTACATAGTACTTTACAAATATTATCTGATTTGAACCTCACAACAACCTTGATAGGTAGGTACTATTTTTAATTTCCATTTTACAGCTGAGGAAACTAAGGAAGGCAGAGGTTAAGTGATTTGCCCAAGATCATACAACTAGTAAGTGATTGAGGCTGGATTTGAACTCAGCTCTCCCTGAATCTGGGTCTACCTCTTTATCCACTGTACTACTTAGCTGCCAGATGTCCAAACAAAAAAAATTATATTAAATGATTTATTTCATAAATGGCAACATGGCAGGTCCTCAGAGCAGACCAGTGAACCTATACCTTCCATCTCCTGGGCTATATCCAAGATAAATGTCTTACTATGAGGGGAGAGGGAAGGTTTGGACCTTCTCATGAGTAAATAATTTTCATAAGAGAGCAGTTTCCTGCACATAACAAGTGGTTTTGTCTATTGGTTTTTTGTTTTTTCTTTTAAACGCTGTCATTATCCCTGCAGGGCATCTACCCTGGTAATGTGAGAAAGGTTGCTGTACCTAGAATGGCTACATTATATTGTCTGTACATTGGAGCACAAAATACCAGTTGATCCAGGGGCCCCAGTTACCTCTAACCACAAGGGGCAGGAATTGGGATGGCTTTAGCTCATTTATAACAGACGCCAGATGGTGACAAGCATTGGTAAGTTAGATTCCAGCTACTTCTCTTTCTACTCTTCCCTGATGCCATTAGCTACACCAACTCTAGGATTAGAATTAGGGCTAGGAATCTCTTACTATAACATGATGCAGTTTACAAAGCCCTTTTACATACAACCCATCATTTGATTCTCACAATTACCCCATAAGCCAAACAAGGAAGGAATGATTATTCCCATTTTGAGGAAACTGAGAACCTGAGAGTTAAAATGACCTACTCAAGGCCATATGGTTGACAAATAATAGCTAGTATTTGTAGAATGCTATAGAATTATATATATATATATATATATATATATATATATATAAATTATAGAATTCATAGAATTTTAAAGTTTGAAAAGTGTGTTTACAAATGTTACTTCTTCTCTAAGAGGTAGGTATGAATATTGTCCCCATTTTACAGATGAGGAAACTGAGGCCAAGAGGGGTTAAGTGACTTGCCCAAGATCGAATGGCTAGAAAGTATCTGAGGTAAGATTTGAACTCAGGTCAGCTTGACTGCAAGTCCTATGCTCTATCCACTGTGCCACCTAGGTGAAAATGGCAAAGCCAAGACTAGAAACAAGATGTTTGGACAGTCTATCTAACACCCTTTCTTAAAAAAAAACCAATACACACACACACGCATGCACGCGCACACACACACACACATACACATATATGTAAAATGATTAATTATAATGGAGGCAGTGAGGCAGGTCTCCAGAGCAGACCACTGGACCTCACTGGGAAAGGGGTAATCAGAGACGCTTCACTTAACCGAGTCACACTTAAACTTTGTATTTCCCTCAGAGCCTTAGTACAGTGCTTTACAAACAGCTGATACTTAATAAGTGCATGTCAAATGAATGACTAAATGAATGGAAATGAAAGAATTTGGGCTTTTGAATCACCATGCTATAGTCCATATCACAAAACTTAATAAAATCCTCCCCCCTCCCATTTCTCCATCCCCAATGTGCATGAAGGCAGCCCTCCTCATGGATATCTAATACAGATGGAGTTAAAACATAATGAAGGGCCCTGTTGAGTCTTTCATCTTTAACAGTCACACCACTTAATATTAATTATAAGAGTGCTTAGGAAAAGGAAGAACTATTCAGATAACATTGACTTGGTGGTTGGCAATCTGTTAGATTATGTGTTGGAGCTTTCTATGTAATTTCACGGCTTTTCACAATCTCCAAGCTACAAATTCACAATTATTTAAAGACATTTTATTTAATTTTCATGCTTTTTTAATCAAAAAAGTTAAAATATAATAATCTTTTATGGGAGGTTATAAAATATGCTATTTGCACAAGGGGCAGGAAAAAAACCCCTCAGCTGACTATGCTTTATGTATAGTTAGAGAGGACTGCATAGGAATACTGATGAGGAAAGAATAGAGTTATTATCTGAACAGCTTGATTTTGCTGCGTAAATGGTATCTATCTGTACTATATTCCATAGGCCAGGCTTCTGCACTGAAGCATGTGAGGAAGGAAGAAGAGAAGAAGCTTTTCATGAGCTCTACAGATGGGCCCTGAAAGCAATCACCTCCTCAACCCACCAAGGCTTACTATTTTCATGGAGAGGAAGGAACAAGGATGGTGGGAGCTATACAGCGGTAATCAAGTCAAGCCAACGAATCTTTATCAAGTCCCTACTATGTGCCAGACTTTGTGCTTAATGCTGACAGTAAATATAGCAGGAGCTGTAAGGTAAGGACAGCCTTTCACAGTCTTAAAAACATATTCATACCAAGGAAAGTTGAATGCAGCAAAGTAAGAAATTTGTGGGATTCAGAGTCCTATAAGGAAACTTGATTTGGAGTCAAATGACCTAGGTTCAAATCCATTAGTAAATCACTTAATCTTTCTGGGCCTCAGTTTCCTCCTCTGTAAAATGAGAGGATTGGATTAGAGGGTTCCTAAGGTCCTTTTTTGACTCTAAATATATCCTATGATCTTGTCATTGAACCTTGCATTCTGACCCTGGATGACGTGTTTTCAGTAATCCCCCCAAACTCTCTTAATATACTACTTTCTATCTCATAGCTTAGTAGTCTCAGTGATGGCTATTGACTCTGGATTATCCACTAATACTCCTGGTTCCTTTCTACTTTAGGACCTTCTACCTGTAGCCCTTGCCACATTCTCTTTGAGATGAGCTGATTTGGTAAATTCTGTGGGAAGTTATGATCTAGAGTAGAACTCAACCAGTTGCATGAGAAGAAAGCATCTTCTTACCCCTTTTAACTTTGGTCAGACACTTAGATCTGGAAGCTTAGAGGTCATCTAAGTCCAACTCCTCTCTACCAAAAGATGAGGAAACTGAGGCCCAAGGGACCTTCTCAGGGTCACACATTAAGTAAAGAGCAGAGCCAAGACCTGAACAGAGGGTCTCTGACTCCCAATTCACTTCTCCTTCCATTGCACTATACTGCCTACTGATTGCTTTATAAATCTTCAGTGTTAGAATCAGAGGGGAGGGAAGGAAATAAGCATTTATTAGGAGCCTTCTAATTGATAGGCACTCTGCTAAACATTTTAAAATACTATCTTATTTGATTCTCATAACAAAACTGGGAGGTAGGTGCTATTATTATCTTTACTTTATAGTTGAGGAAACTGAGGCAAAGAGGTAAGTGAATTGTCCGAGGTCACACAACTAGTAAATGTCTGAGGTAGATTTGAACTCCAGGTCTTCTTTAATCCAGGTCCAGCATTCTATCCACTGTGCCCCCTAGCTGCCTCTGGAAGGGACCTCAGGGAGTTAATGTTCAGTGCTCATTTTACTGTACCACCAATTCCTGTGAACTTAAAAATGCTTTCACAAATACAGTAATAGCAATGGAGATAACAAAAGCTGACACCTATGAAACATGTTTAGGTTTTCAACACATTTTATAGGCATCATCTCATTTGATCATCACAATAACCCTGCTAAATAGGCATGACAGATATTATCATATTAGAAGTAACAAGGTACAGTGAAAAGAATCCTAGATTTGGAGTCAGAACAGTTGAATCTCAGATCTGTCACTACTTGAGTGCTCTTTCTTCTTTTTTTTTTTGGTGAGGCAACTGGGGCTAAATGACTTGCCCAGGGTCACACAGCTAATAAGTGTCAAGTGTCCGGTCAAGGCCGGTGCTCTATTCACTGCACTGGCTAGCTGCCCTATAATGTTGCATTTATTTATTTTACTTTTTTTTTTAATTTTGGAGGCAACGAGAGTTAGGTGACTTGCCCAGGGTCACACAGCTAGCTAGTAAGTATCTGAGGCTGTATTTGAACTTAGATCCTCCTGACTCCAGGCCCAATGTTCTATCCACTGGGCCATCTAGCTGCCTCAGTGCTCTTTCTTCTACCAGAAGCTAGATATACTTGTCCCTCTATACTCTCTGCCCCCCAGATCTGTGCTATTTTGCAGAGTTTCTCAACCCTCCTAGCTTTCTAGGTTGTTGTTAGATCAAGTACAAAAAGAAACCATTCTCCTCCCTTCCTCTGGCATTATGAGGGGAAGCATCAGGATGTATCTGCCCTTTCTCTTCAGAGTACCTGGAGAAGAATGAATCTAGGTAGATTCCTATGACTGAGAAAGGTTGTGTAGACATGAAAAGAAACCACTTCTATGTGTAATGCACTTGAGCAAAGTTTCAGGGACATACATAAGAATCTCCTGAAAGGATCTCTCACCTGTGAAACAGACCTAGTTTCACTGCAGACACTTGAAGATAGCTCGGCTCTGTCCATGGTACTCGGCTACCCTTTCTAAAACCTATGTGTAGTATCTGTACATTAATCTGCAGGACCCAGAATGTTGGTCAAGAGATGTCATTGAGCTTCTCAGACAACACATAATCCCCCAGCTCCTTACCACTCCCCAGAAAAATGACCATCATCATTATCATAATTATCATACCAGAAGGAAATATGCCAAAACAATGCCCTGGTGACTTTTATTCGTTGTAAGCTGCCCCTTGACAAACTGTGGTTCTTCAGAGTGACTTCTGATGGAATCAAATGCTAAGTGTAGCTGCAAGGGGCCTTAGGAAACTTTCTGACCCAGGTTTCTACCTTCAGATAGAAGGCTCAAAAATTCAGGACAGTTGTCATATAGGACCTGAAACTGGACTTACTTTTATAAGTTATTCTTGTGATGGTGTCTCTGTTTAGCATTCGATTAAGAAATGGATTTGATGAATCAGAAACCTAGGGGTGGAGAAAAAAAACAATTAATGATTGAATCTAGATTGTCACATGATAAGCATCTCCAATAAGAACACTTACTTAGGGGAGAGATCAAGAAAGGAAGGATGTTTTAGGTCAGAGATGAACCCTGATGCATCTGAAATTCTCTGGGAGATGAGGGAAGCAGATCTCTTCCAAGTTACAAGTAAAAAAGGTAATGGAATCCTGTCATAACAGACCCATTGTTATCAGGAATGTGCATCCATCATATCCAGTCCACTAGAACAACTAAAAGCTTGATTTTTTTTTGTCCCTCAATTCAGCACAATTCATTTCAACCACTTATTAAACATCTATATAAATGCAAGACTTTCAAGGATGTCAAGTTACCCACTGATGGAAAAGCCTCTCTCTTTAGCATTCATTTTTTCCCAGTGACACTATATGACTATGGATCACAGAATACCAGTGACTCAGAAGAGTCATAACTGCAGATGTCCCAAAAGGCAATGGGAATGATGCACCTACCTTTTCCATTGATTCATATTATATATTCCCTTCTGTGTGCTCTTTGCTTCAAATTGGCCCACTAGCTTTTCCCTGGAATCATTATTCCATTTCCCACTTTGTTGCCTATCGTATAGGCTATTCCTGTGTGAGAGAGGCACTCCTTCCCTCCACTCTAGTGGAGGAAATTCCCTCAAAGGGAAAGCTTCCTTTAAAACATAGTTTAGCAGCTAGTTCCTATATTTGATCTTTCCTGATCCCCTAGTTGTTAGTACTCTCTATCTCTTAGTCTGTATGAATTGTACTTTATGAATCTGAATATAGGTTTTATTCTCTCCTTGAAGTATTGTTTCATTTTTATAATTTTGGTCTTTATATCCCAAATCCCTATTATAGTGCCTTGCATATAGGATTGTAGATATAGAGCTGGACGTGACCTCAGCAGCCATCTAATCCAAACCCCTTATTCTACAGATGAAGAACCTGAGGTCTGGTGAGGTTATTGACATGTTTAAAGTCACCTAAGTAGTAAATTTCAGCCTATTGCTAATAATGACTCACATGTAAAAAAAAGTGATATAAAATCACCTGCAAGATAAAGGAACCTAGAAAAGGCTGTGGAATGATTGTTTAATAAAAATGACCTGAGAGCTGCACTGGTATCCACAAAAAATACCAAAAGAGCCAAAGGGAAGCTTCTAGTGTGTTGGGCCAACTTCTATTTATGGAAAGCATTCATGGAAAGACATAAGAAGCATGCAGGTATGAAGGACTTATGATTTATGCTTAGGGAGGAAGCTAGAGATCCACTGAACTATAGAGAAGTCACTGTGGAGGAGATACAAAAATGGGGAGATGGAAAGATGGCATTAGGCATGATCCCTGCCTTCAAGGAGTGTACAGTTACCTCTAGCCTAGGCATAGATCACTTTTCCTGACAACAGCGCCATCAAGGAGTTTCAAAGCAAAATAGACAGCTCTAGTTTTTAGAGGACACAGGCATGTTGCATTTTGAGGTTCCTGTCTACTTCTGTTTCATGCACACAGGTTCTGTGATATCCCCTTCTTCTTTTGGTGAAAAAAAACAAGGCTGCTATGTCTATTTCTAGGTTTGAGTAAATAAGAATATCAGTCACCAAATATTTATTAAGTCCTTCCTATGTGACAGGTACCATGTTGGGGATATGCAGAGAGGTTAAGAAAACACCAGTTCCCACCCTCAAAAATCTCATATCTAATGGGGGAATACAAGAGATAAATAACTAAGTACTAGGTGACTAGGTTGTTAGATGAGTAGATGAGAGCAATTTGAAATGGGAGGCATGGGTAGCTAGGGGGACTGGAAAAGGGGTCCTGCCGAAGGTTGGATTTGCTCTCAGTCTTGAAGGAAGCCAAGGAAGCTAAAGAGGTAGAGGTAAGGTGCAAGAAAGTTAGGAAAGTAGGAAGGGGCTAGGTTATGAGGAGCTCTAAATGCCAAACAGAGGTCTTTTCTGGAAAGCACTTTTAATTGTGGTTTTCCTGACATATAGTCATCTCTCCTTTCCTGCACTGGCCTCCGTGTTCTGATTTATTGTAAGTTTCTAGTTGGAAGTTGTGACTCATCTGCCTTAAAAACAGATCTATCTTAAGGGTTAGGGATGTCACAATATATATCCAATAGGTAATTCTGAGTTTCGAAATTGCATTGATTGCTTATGTTTCTTCTGTTTCTCTTTGTTGTATGGTTTTATTTTGTTTTGTTTCTGTTTTTGTTCTTACTGACTGCATGGTATAATGTATGGGTACTGGATTTGGTGTCAGGAAGAACTGTGTTGAAGAGACTATGTCATCCTTCTATTAGTTGTGCTTAAACTTCCCCATCTCAATTTTCTCATTTATGAAATGAGTGCATCACACACAATGGCCTCCAAGATTCCTTCTAGCTTTCATCTATGATCCTATGACAAAAAGGCAGTTTTAGGATGTTTGGCAAAGGTAGATTTCTACCCATCTGAGAAATGCACACAATCAACCCTGATTCTTTTCAGAGACTGTAAGCACAGAACCAAATGTTACCTCCCTTGTAGGTTGACCTACAGCTATTTGAAAGCTATTTCATAGATTATTCTCTGAAACAGGGGTTCTTAACCTATGGTTTGTTAATTTGCTTTAAAATATTTTCATAATCACATTTCAATATAATTGACATCTTGTAATTTTATGTACATAATTTTACATATTAAAAGAAAATTATTATGAGAAGGGATCCATTGGCTTCACCAGAATGCCAAATGGAGCCCTGATTTATAACACACACATACACACACACACACACAGGTTAAGAATTTCTGCTCTACCCCAGTGCATCCCCAAGAAAGAGAAACAAAAGTATTATTTATGATTGGTGATAAATATGTTATGTTCCACATAGAGACTTTGGGCCATTGTAAACTCAATATCTGGTCACCATTACACTTCTGGGCTGAGACCTTTATGCATCGGTTAAGAACAACTGAGTAAATTTAAAAACTGTACAGAGAAAACTTGTTGATTTTAGTGTGTTGGTGCCATGGATTGGTGGGAGCCTTAAATATGTATGTGGTGTAACTGAGCTTAAGTGGAGAGTTAATGGTACATGGAAGAGTTGCAATTAGAGCCAAATTTCAATTCCCTTTGGTCATTGGGTGGGGTGGGTGGGAAGATGGGGAGGGTTAAGCAGGGGTTAGTGGGCTAGACTTAAATGAAGTCCCCAGATAGGCACATCCCTCCTTTTACACCAGCATTTTCAACCCTTTCTACCACCTAACTTTTGACTAGAGTTACAAGTCATGAGCAGTTAACTTTATAGGCTGAACTTTTCTCCTAATCTTCTAATCGTGCAAGACTTTCAGCCCAGTGCTCTTAGGCATCATCCTGGGAAGCAATTCCTGTGAACATGCATCTGAACAATTACTCCCACAGTTGTACTGGCCACAGCTACTATAGACACAGAAAGGAAAGTTCTTATCATAAAAGACCATGGCACTGTGAAGTGATTTAACAATAGAAACCAATATGATTTTATCAATGGAAATGACATTAAAGAAGAAGTATTACCATCTGTTTTACTTTTGTACCCTAAGGACCATGAGAGCATTCCATCCACCTTGTAGCTGAAACCTTCCACAGGTATTGTTTTTCCCCTTAGAATGTGAGCTCCTCTTCTAGATTTTTATTCCCAGGATTTAGTGCAATGCTTTGCACATAATAAGTGCTTAATATGTTGTTTTTTTCACTCATTCATCTGGCTTAGATAGAAGTTGAGTGTAGCTTATGACAAATGTTGCTTTTCAATGTATACCTATATGTTTTTTTCCCTCTTAGAAAGATATTTCACTTTAAGGATGCTACCTATTGTTCATTTTTACTATTACTCAGACAAATGAGATCTGTTTGTTCCAACAGAATCTCAGCAGGTTTTTGTCTTGAGAATATTTATTAGCATTTTTTCTTTTCTGATTACTCTTTATTTATCTTGCCTTGGGATAATGGACCCTATGCTTCATTAATATTGTACCCATTTTTGGTTAAAAGGACTTTCTAAATCTGTTATCATCTATTTTATATTTCCAAGAGTGTATATAATGACTGGTATCCCATAGGTGTTAGTAGTAATGCAACAGTTGATAGCAATAACAAAAATACTTATTATTTGGTCTCTATTTGCTTTTTTTTAAAATCAGGCCTATGATTTCATCAGTGTAGGAAACCCCAGTGTGAAAACTCTCTCCAACAGAGGAGGCTTTGGCATTTTATAGTTGTAGAGAACTCCCTGGGGCACTGACAGGTTAAGTGACTTGCAAGGTTCACACAGTGTGTGTCAGAGATAATTTGAACCTAGGTCTTCTGGATGTTAAGGCCAGCCCTCTAACCACCTTGCCTCTGTAAGCTGCTTATAATTACATTAAAATAGTAACTATTACTCCTCCTCTATTTGGATAATTACACTCTAGAAAAGTGGCCCCTGAACAAGTGGGAATTGAACAGGTTTGACAATGACAAGAAGGAGTCATCAGTATGCTCTGGTTGGGTCTGATGCATGCAGAAAGCTCAGAGGTAACACTGGAAGAACAAGAGAGGCAGTGAGCTCCATTCTGGCCAATTAGAGACAGGAGCAATTACACTTAATCCACTCACTTTTAGTAGCTACTTGCCCCAGGGAACATGTTCTTAGTCCCAATCAACATATAAGCTGCTGGACCTGGGGTGGGGTGGGGGAAACTGGTCTGCAGGGGAGGTGCAGCATGTTTCTGAAAACATATTTCCCCTTTGCTTGTTAAATACATCAGCAATTTGGCAGGCAAAAATGCTGTATTCTGAGCTGATCAATCACTGTAAGCCATAGTGAGTGTCCATATTACAGACGGGACTTTCACTAACCAGGGCTCCAAACCAGGGAGGCTGAAGCCATCAGCTGTGCCAAGGAACCTCAAACAGAGGGACCAGCAGGACTAGCTCATATTGATATGGCCATTCTCTCCATCTCTTGTCTTTCCAATTGCACAGGGAGCATAAGTGGATGTCTGAATTTTTGGCTTTAGGAGAAGCTTCGCGAGAGGTTGCTAAAACAGAGGCTGAGGGAAACAAATGATAGCTGCCCCTTTTGTAAAGGATATTGTTACCAGATAAGAAGGTTTTCAGAACAGGGAAGAACTCCCTGATTAAGTTCATCAAATGGCTTTTTTGTGGCTTAGTTAAGGGCTAAACTGGCATTATAAAAATTTGACTGTATTTGTGGCTAGCATTTGGGAATGTTTAAATCTTTTCTTTCTCCTTGATCTGTTTTTTTTTTTTCCAAAGGATCAGAGGATCATGGGTCTACAGAAGAAGTCACAGAAGAAGTAGTTGGAATCAAAACCCAGGCCTCTTCCATGCTCTTCTCGCAATACCATGCTGCCTAGAAAATATTATCAGGAAGAGCAAATCAGTGACACCAGAGGCTTCCTAGTTCAGCTTGCTCATTTTACAAACTGGGAAACTGAGTCCCAGGGAGGTTGCAACTTGACGTAGGCTACACAGGTAGTGTCATGGGTGAGATTTAAGGATATGGGTGTCCTGTCACTCCCTAGCCAGTGCTTTTCCCACTACTTTATGAGCAAGAGAAGAGCCTAGAACTTCCTACAACTCCCACTTAGAGTGGGAGATGACGCTGTGAATTTTAGAGGTAGCACCAGCTGTATTATCTGGGAAGAAGTAGAATTTCCTTCTGAATTTAACTTTGAAAAGTGACAGTACATCTGTCTTGAGTTCACAGGACCATAGCTTCATTATTTCAGAAATAGAAATGACTTTAAAGGTTATCCAGTTCAACCCCCTAATTTTATAAATGGTGAAACTGAGGCATAGAGAAGTTTAAGTGCCTTGTCCAGTATGGCTGAGTTATAACATGGGAGAGCTAGGGTTGGAATTCATGAGCTCTCACTCCAAATCCAGCACTCTTTCCATTGCTCCACACTGACCCCAATATCCCGTTTCCTCTTTACATAAAGTGTGGATTTAGAAAGGTACATGCTAATAATGAGTTGGGGGGTTGTGGCAGAATACAGTAGAGCTTTCAGAGGGCTCTTTCCATTGATTCAAAACTGTACTAGGATCTGAGAATAAGCTGGAGACCAAAGTTAAATGGAATGGGGCCTGGAGAATCCATCCATATATCTTTTAAAGGATGGCCTAGGAATGATGCTGCTTTAGCTGACCATCTTCTGAACAGTTTTCTAAATATTTATTAGCTCTTCATGGTCTTTCAGTAAATAAATCTAATGTTGGTTTCTAGGAATGTGGCTACTTAAAAAGATGAGAACGTTGGATGGCAGCTTCTCTTTTGATTAGCTTTTCAACTGGACTCAAATTTCTAGTCTGTGCATTTCCTCTAATGCCTTTGAACAATAAAGCCCAGTGTCCCAGCAGAGCAGTAACTAGTGACGTGGACACACCGAATGAGCTTTGCAATATGCTCCCTAGGGCACGGAGGGCTAAGTTCACTCTCAAATGAACTTCAAAGGCAATTAATGATAGAGGGTGAGGGATTCCTAGATAGAAGGCCATGTTGAGAGAAAGAGACCCTGGGACACTCACTGCCCCTTAGGGAGGAGATAGAAAACCTTGGACACTGACTCTTAGAGAAGAGATAAAAGCCTTGAGACATTTTGAGGCTGCTACTGGAGAGGCTGCTGACAGAGTGAGGAGCAGTGAGGCAGGGTGCAAGGTAGGGTCAGGTTGGGTACCAATTCACTATGCTTTGGGTGGATCTGAGGGAGAGGGTATCATCTGGCAGATTCTCATTTAAACTAATTCCTCCCATTAGCTAAACTCAGTTGTTTCTATACTAATGAATGAGAGTGTGTCATCAGTGACTCTAATTGCTTTGTCCTAGTTATGGTTTGTCTTCAAGTGATTACTAATTTTGGGGGATGTTGACATATTTGATTATTGTTTGAAACTCTGTCCTTCAAATCCCATACTCCAGACCTATGTGTGGCATACAGTTATTTTAAAAATAAAAATGAATTGAAACTTATTTGTGGGGATGGGGGATGAAGGGAAGCAGGGAGATTATCCTAGTGAGTTCTTAGAGAGATATGCAGATGCTTGGTATGTAGCCAAATCAGGGCAAGGGCTGGGGGGTAGGGGCAACAATCTGATATTCCTGGTGATTACTATTTGGTGTAGCATTGAGAGGCATCATGGTCATAATAGTGGGAAAAGCACATGTTGAAGTCAGAGGGTTTGAATTCCAGATCTGCTATTTATTTCTTGTGTGATCTTTCCCTCTCCAGGCCTCAGTTTCCTTATTTAAAAAATAAAGGGGTTGATTTAGCTAATCTCTCAGCTCCTTTCAGCTCTAAATCCTATGCTCTGAGAATAAGAACAGTATACAACTTGGCAGACCCTGACATTGTATCACCTCTCTCTTTCTCTCCTCCTCCTCCTCCTCCTCTTCTTCTCCTCTTTCTCTCCTTCCTTTGTCTCTGTATTTCTCCTCTCCTCTTTCTCTCTCTGTGTCTTCTCCTCCCTCTCTTCTCTTTCTCTTCTCTATTATCTATCTATCATCTATCTATCTATCTATCTATCCATCCATCTATCCATCTATCCATCTACTCATCTATCTTCTTTTTGGTAAGGAAGTAAAGAACTCCCTAGGTTTTTTTTCCTTGGTGAGTTGAAGCCTTCCTCCATACTATGGGCTGTCTGTGTGGCCATGGAGGGTAGTGAGACCAACTAAGGGATGCCCCAGCTCTCATGTCCTTAGGCCTTAGTCTACAGAACCATAGACTTCATTATCTTTCCCTGCAAACTGTCCCATCTTCCTAACTTCCCTGTTATTGTGGACAGAACCACCATCCTCTCAGCCACTTAGGCTCATAAAGTAGATATCATTTTTAACTCCTCACTCCCTCTCACTGCCTCCTCCCATATCCCATCAGTTGCTAAGTCCTCTTGTTTCTATCATCAAAATACTTGTTGTATATGTCCCCTTCTCTCCTCTGACACTGCTATTATCCTGGTGCAAGCCCTCATCTCTCCATGCCTGGACTACTGCAATACTGATCTCTTCCATTCTAGTCTATATTCCACACAGCTGTCTAAATGGTTTTCTTAAAGAGTAATCCTGATCATGTCAATTCCCTACTAAAAATACTCTAATGGCTCCCTATTGTCTCCAAGATCAAATATAAAATCCTCTGTTTGAGTTTTAAAGCCTTTCATAACCTGTCCTATACTTTTTCCTGAATTCTTACATCTTACCCTACCCCTCCTCTCTCCCATCCCTCTGTTCCAGTGACACTGGCCTTGCTGTTCCTCAAAGAAGACACTGGATCTCCTGACTCCAGGAATTTTCACTGACTGTCCCCATGCCTGGAATGCTCTCCCTCTTCATCTCCACCTCCTGGGTTCCCTGGCTTCCTTCGAGTCCCAGTTAAAATTCCACCATCTACAGGAAGCTTTTCTTAAGCCTCCTTGATGCTAGGGACATCCATCTGTGAATTATCTCTAATTTATCCTGGATATAACTTATTTGCATATACTTATTTGCACATCGTAACTCTCATTAGAATGTAAGCTCCTTGAGGACGAAGACTCTTCTATCTTTCTTTATATCCTCAGTGTTTAGTGGCAGATAATACATGCTTAAAAATGCTTATGAACTAACTGACAGACCTCTGATTCCAGAGCCTAGAATCCTTTCACTGTACCATGCTAATTCTTCTTTTCATTTTCAGAGTTTAAACATAGTCTGCCCTGGAAATTTAAGGTTTTCTGAAATGGGAGCCCCCAAATACCTTTGGGAAAGACTTCATTTCACATGAATTCTGATATAAGTAAAAAACAAAACAGGGACAGCCAGGTTCTTATTAGTGCAAATGATGAATCCCTTGAAGTAGTCACCTGTATTTGAATTTGCAATATATACAGTTGCAATTATGTAAAATGTGGCAACTGGTTCCAGCCCAATGAAAATATGCAGTCAGTGCAAGTTTGAATAATGCAACCACCTCATGGGATTCTTATTTATACTAATAGGGATCTAGATGTCTTCTATAGCTTAGCTTGGTTGGTAGAATGTCAGCTCCTTGAGGTCAGGGACTACTTTATTTTTGTTTTTATATCTCCAATGACTAACATAATGCCTGACACACAGTAGGGGCTTAACAAAGGTGTATTGAATAGGAATGGTTATGACTCATTTGAATATTTCTACAACCCAACTGTTATCAAATGATTATTACAGGAATTCACAATTCTTTTAGGGTTTGGGTAGAAGGTAGATGCTGGAGTGAACGAATATACGCAGGGTACTCACTTTTATAAATATAGAAACTACCACCAATCCATTTGGACTTTTTGCAGCCTCTGTGACATTTGTATATAACTCATGGTTATAGTGGATTAGCTGAACCTGGAAGGAGAGATAAAAAAAACAAACAGTGGCATTAAAAAGGGCATCATACATCACATTCGTGGGGATCAACAACAATGCATGTTGTAGATGATTAGAAACAAAGTCTTTTTGAAATGAGGGGATTTCACAGATTTTCTGGTAACATGCATGATTTTAATAACCCCAGTGACCATCTGGCTCTGCCTGGCCCCAACCCAGGATGTCTCCTCTAAGCTGTTGGTAAGTGAATTTCCTGGGGGCTGGTAGGCTTGCTGAGCTATAACAGCAGCTGGCACTGGTATCACAAAATGCTCTTCACAGTAATAGGGACAAACTAGGAGTTGTGAGCTAGGGAGGCAGCCTGGTGACCTGCTGAGACTACAAAAGGAGAGGAGGGAAAGAAGAAAGGGAGACATGGAGGAGAGAGAGGGAGGGAGAAAGAGAGACAGGGAGAAAGAGAGACAAAGAGAGAGAGAGAGAGAGAGAGAGAGAGAGAGAGAGAGAGAGAGAGAGAGAGAGAGAGAGAGAGAGAGAGAGAGGAAGGAGGGAGAGAGAAAGGAGGAGGAGATGGAGAGACAGAGACAATGAAAGAAAAAGCATGAGAAACAGAGACAGATACAGACAATGCAAGAGACAGAATAAGAGAATGACAGAATGAAAGAGAGAGAACCAGAGAGAAAGAGAAAATAGGATAAAAGAGAGAATGAGAAAAAAAGAGCTCAGGCTTATGATTCTTCAGCCAAGAGGGGTGATTTCTTTTTTCTTTCTTTTTTTTAAGCAGCTCCACCCAAGTTTAAACTTTTAGTTGGCCCATCCAATACATCTCACCCATCACTCTGTCAGTTATTGAACCTATGCTCATTGCCAAGGGAGAGAGAAACTGCATTGTCCTTGTCCAAAATATTTTAGAAATTAAAAAAAATTAAAAATTAAAAGTCAGTCAGACAATGAAACAGGATAAATCTCCTCCAAATAAATTATTTTTGAGGATCAGATTCATGATTTCACTGGTATGGGGAATTCCCAGGGAGAAAACTCTTTCTATCAATTCAGATCACCTCTTGTTCTGCAAATTGTAGTTTTAGAGAATTGTATAAGATCATATACTTAAAGCTAGCAGAGACCTCAAAGGCCACCAAATCTAACTCCCTTTATTTTATAGATAAGAGCTTAAGTGACTTAGGATCAAACAGCTAGTAAGCGTGTGAGACAGGATTTGAACTCAGGTCTTTTGCCTCTGAGGCCAACTTTCTATCCACTACAACATGGTGCTTTTATTATTCTGGCTCTGACATTTGTTACTCCACTGATTAATGTGTTCTTTGAATAATTCTTTTGTAATAACTCAACTTGATTGCTTATTTTTTGATATCTGAGTAATCATCTGCTGAAGGATAGCACCCTGAGCAAAGAAACACCCCGGGTATAGTGGAGTTTTAGGGAGGGACATCCAAGAGTTTTCTCTGTGCTCAAAATAATCCTATTTATGTTTTCACTTTTCATGAGTTTTGCCAATGGAGCCAGATGGTAGTAAGGTGATTGCTATGCCATTGGAAGAGAAATCCCACTTGGGAAATGAAGCCTGCTCTCTGGCGGGAGCAGTGACTCTCCAGGGGTTTATTATACCCATCCTCTTCCAAAAGGCAACCTGGGGCCTGCCTTCCCCCCCCTGGTGTATTTCCACGGGTAAAGAAGCAGCTCCCTTGTAAGTTATGCAGTGTGAAAGGAGTCTAGAGGCCCTGTGGGGTGCTGTGGCTCTCCCCTCCAGCACCTAGACAGTTTCTAAATGAGAGGCAAAATGTGTACCTAATGATGTGCACAGATGATCTGTGACAACCCTCCCAGCACACTTGAGCAAGGGGAAATGTATTAAGGAGTGACTTGGAAATTTCAGCATAGTCTGAGAATTGGATTGTAAAGAGAAGGTAGTTCAAGGGATTTCATGGCCCCAAAGTGACACTTCTCTCTGACATTCCAGCCAAAGAAAGAGTATAAGAAGATCTACAGGGCCATGGACCACTTCCTCTAAAGTATATGGATGTATACTGAATTCAACAAGACCTGAAATGTTGGAACTGTGCTTTGAATTCAGATAAAGTGACCTGGGGTATTCAGAAGAGGGGCATGTGGGTCAGAAAACCTGACCCTCTATTTCGCTTCCCAATTTTTAACTTAAGGAAATCATTTAATCTCTTTGATCCTCAGTTTCTCTAGCTGTAAAACTGGCATCATAGATTTGGAGATGGAGGGAGGGAACCAAGTCTAACCCACTCATTTTACAGATGAGACAATTGAGGCCCAGAGATGGGGAGTGACTTGCTCAACACCACCCAGGGAATATGTGGCACATCTAGGATTCAGGTCCTTTGACTGCAAAGCCATCATTCTTTCCACTGTGCCATGCTGTTTCTTCTAACATGATGATGCTAGTGAATTTACTCACCTACTCTGTACGTATCTTACATGGATCTGATTATTTACATGTTGCCTCTTCCACTGGACTTTGAACTGGTTGAGAGCAAGGGCTGTTGTTGCCTTACTTTGTATCCCTAACACTTAGCACAGTACCTGGCACACAGTAGGAGCTTAACAAATACTTGGTTTTTTGGTTTATTTTTGTTTTTATATCTCCAATGACTAACAATTATGTTGGCACACAGTAGGGGCTTAATAAAGGTTTGTTGAGTTGGAATGGTTGTGACTTATTTGAATATTTCTACAACCCAACTGATATCAAGTGATTATCCCGGGAATTCACAATTCGTTTAGGGTTTGGGGAGAAGGTAGATGAGGGAGTGAATATATGCAGGATACTCACTTTCATAAATATAGAAACTACCACCAATCTATTTGGATTTTTTGCAGCCTACTCTGCAGGGTTATTTATGAGATCAAAGGAGCGCATGTATGCAAAGTGCTTTGTAAACCTAAAAGTAATAAATGACAGCTATTGTTATTATTATTATTTTTCTGAAGGCATTTTTAAACTTGTAGGAATGTGTAGAATAACAGAAAGAGGATTGGACTTCAAGTTAGAAAACTTGAGTTTTATTCCCAACCTTCCTATGACAAAGTTCAAGTTAGTTGATAAACATTTATTAAATACCTACTATGTGCTAGGCACTGTGCTAAGTGCTGGGGATACAAAAAGAGGCAAAAGACAGTCTCTGCCCTCAAGGAACCCAAAGTATATTGGGGGAGACCAGCCAGCAAATATGTACAAACAAGCTCCATACAGGATAAATAGGAAGTAAATAAGAATGGGAAGACAATATGATTAAGAGGGATTGAAACGTCTTCCTATAGAAGAAAGGATTTTTTTCTGGGACTGAAAGAAAGCCAGGGAAGCCAGAAGGTGGAGATGAGGAGGCATGGGGGACAGCTAGAGAAAATGCTCAGAGCCAACAGATGGAGTTTCTTGTTCTAGAGGCAGCAATGTGGTCAGTGTTACTAGGTTGAAGAGTATATGGGAGAAATGAGGTGTGAGAAATTGGAAAGGTACAAGAGGAAGGGCTTTGAATGCCAAGCAAAGGATTTTGTTTTTGATCCTGGAAGTGACAGTGAGCCTCTGGAGTTTATTGAGTTGGGGGTGCTGGGAGGGGTGACATGGTCAGGCTTGCACTTTAGGAAAATCACTTTGATAGCTAAATGGAAGATGGTTTAGAGTGGGATGAAACATAAGGCACGAAAACTCACAAGCAGGTTATCACAGTCTGGGTGGAAAGTGATGAAGGACTGCACCAGATCAGTGGCAAACTACTTTTAACCTCCCTGAATCTCAGTTTACCCATCTATAAAATGGTGCTTGCCTTTTCTACCTTACTAGGCTGTCATGCGTATCAAATGATACTGTATGGAATGATGTAATGACACTGCATGTGTTTTGTAACGGAAAAACCCTATAAAACATGTGAGTGCATACACAGTACAATCACAGACCTGTGATTTTATTATTATAGAAAACTTCTGGTGTGGAAACTCCCTCTATTGATACATGCCAAGAACTTGTTTACAACTTATAGTTCTAGAGTATTGCTTCAGACAATGAAAGATTAAGTGAATTACCTATAGTCAGACAGCTAGTAACTATCAGGCAGGTCTGAAATCCAGATCCTCCTGATTTCAAGGCCAACTCTTTACCCATTATACCATGATGCCTCTCTATAAAAATAGAAATATATAAAAATACATATAAATTATAAAAATTTAAAAATATATAAAAATGTAAAACATATTGTTAGTAAAATTACTTATGAGTAGGAATCCCATGAATTTTCAAAATGCTAATATATATTTAAACCTTTCTATCCTCACTTTTAGATTCTTGAAGATGCTGGCTGATGGGCTGTATGCTATAATTAACTTCTCCATGGAATCAATCAGAAATCTGAACCAAGATTCAACCAAGGCCTAGATACCTCTATTAGATAAAACGTAATTTCATAGTGGAACTGGAAGAATCAGGAAAAGATCTTTTGTAGAAGTTCTGGATTTAAGCTGTCTTAAAGGAAACCTGGAATTCTAAGAGCTACAGCCTAAGGATGGTAAGTGTTCTATAAACTGAGAGGAGGGGGGAAGAGAGAGAATAGCCTAAGCAAAGACACAAAGAGAAAGGAGATGAGTGTTATATGGGAGGAACCTTTGTTGTTGTCATGCATTTGTTTTCAGTTGTGTCCGACCCTTCATGTCTCTACTTGGGGTTTTCTTGGCAAAGATACTGCAGTGGTTTGCCATTTTCTTCTCTAGCTCATTTTACAGATGAAGAAACTGAGGCAAACAAAGTTAAGTGACTCACCCAGAGTCACACAGCTAGTAAGTGTCTGAGGTAGGATTTGAACTCGGGAAGATGAATCTTCCTGACTCCAGGCCTGGCTGTCTCTGGGAGGAACATAGGCTTTTAATGAGTAGATTGGCCCCTAAGGGATGAACTTTTTGGAAATGGCAACTCATGAAACAAAGAAAATTACAAAATCCCCCTTAATCTTGTAAGATTCTCTTCCGTTTTTTGTAGTGATGGT